GTAAAACTGCGTGGCTACTTTTTATTGGTTTCTTTCTTTAACAAACATGTTTTACAAAATAAAGTAAATTGGTAAACATTGTGACAATTATATAAAAATTAATCATAACTTATTTGAGATAAATAGTGTCCTTTATTTACGAAATAATAACAGTTTAAATGTCATATTTAATTGCAAGTTATCATTGATGAAGCTCTGATCAATTTGATAAGTTGTCAATGATATGTCTACAAATTAACAAATCTTTATTATCAATGATATTACGGCAATAAATTTTCAATTAAAACTGGGTAAACCACTTAAATTCCATTATAATTAAGCCTACCTAGTGAATAAAAAATTAATTACTTTACTTTCGCATGCTATAATTACAAATACATAAATATAAACTCATCAAAATAAAATACATAAAAATAAATAACTTATTTATATTAAATAATTAAATAAAAAATTACTAAAATCGATCTAATAATAAAAAAGTTAAAGTAATATGTATTGAATTCTACATTTGAATCATATAATTGTTATTATAATTTAACTAAATAAGAAATAATTAAATAAATTATCTAAAGATTGTTTATTCTGTTTCCATAAGATACATGCACATAAAAGTAGTTGAATAATGTAAATAAATATATTTTCATAAATTAAATAATGTAAAAAAATTATTAAAAGATGTTAATTTTGTTTCTAAAAGATACATGTTTGCAAAATATAATTAAGAATCGGACTCTTAAAATTACTACAAACTCGTAATACCCGAACCCCCCGACCTGGCCGAGTACCCGAACCCGTGAACGCTTAGACCGAATACCCGATCCCGCCGACCACTCTTAAAGTGAATAAAACGCGTCGGTGTGGCCGGCCAAGCTTAGCGCGCGCCTCTACCAGGATGATTACGAAGAGCTTAATTAACATAATACATCGAATTAGCTCCCTAATTTTTCGGGCCCAATCCTTAATTGCGGCCCAATAAGAGCCACTATAAATAGGACCCCAACGAAGTATGTAACTAACTTTTCACCTACCGCATTTATTACGCCAAGCACTTACTTGAGCATTGGAGTGTCTTTGCAGGCACCCCCACTTCGCTTCGGACTACCCGGATAGGAACGAGAAGACCGAGACTCAAGACCCGACCCGCTACAACTGGGATAATTGAAGTGTGTATCCTAATACATGAAATAATAATACCTATATCAATAATAATATTTATAATAATTATTAAATAATTAAAAAGTATAAGAAATAAATTATTCAAAGTTTAATATGAAGTATTAAATAATTAATAATATAACCATATCAATAATATTCAAACATTGTTATTGTTATAGATCATGCCTTACTTAATTTAAAATTAGAGCGTATAAATAAGAATTAACTGAAACACTTTAGTAATATTTAAATATTTCATTTTAAAAAAAATTATAAACAATATTTTTTTATATAAAATAAGTTAAGATCATCATATTATTTATATTTCTTATAAACCATTATTAAATTAAATCAGCTAACAGGTAGGTATTTTCAAAAGACCAAAATTGCAATACTATTACTAACTGTACATATAATTTTAAAGAAATTCCATATTCATATAGAAAAATGACAATAATGACAGTATTAAAAGATTACTTTTTTTTTATTTCACTACAACTGAAACATGGAATATAATTTTTTTTATAAATATAATATAAATGTGTTATGATATAGTGATATAAATATTTTTTTAATTTAAATACCTAAGATAAATTGATTAGATAAATTTTTGACATTTTTATTTTTGAATTAAAAAAGCATAGATAAATTATAAAAATACGATATTATGATTTCATCATTAAAATTAGAATTTAGAATTATAAATAAATACATCAATATATAAATATTTAGTCTATAAATATTGATAAAAATGTTAATTATAAACGTTAATTACAAAAAATAAGTAAAAATTAAATCATATAAATGCTCATTTTTTTAAGTAAGAATAACAATAATGACATTAAGATTTGAACGTAAATTTTATGTATACTACAATTTTTTTTACTAATAGGCAATCTTAATAGTTCATGTAAATGTTCATTAAGATTGCACACATGCAGCCTACTTTTTCCTCCTTACACTAATCTCCTTTAATTGTTAAAAAAAATGTTGACATAATTTAAATATTACATTGTGACCTCATGAAAGAGAGATTAGTGCAATAATTAAAAAATAAGTGTGTATAATTTCATGAAACATCATGTAGTATAGTATTTATGTAATGGATAAATTTTAGGTATAGTTCTTTAGATGTGATTGGTTGTATTTTTTAATTATAGTTAGAGTTTTATCTTAAAATTAATCACCTATGTATTGTTAATGTAAAATTTTTTTACATTGATAATTAATTATTTTTTTAATTGTACCATGTCACTGTAAACACATTTACTTTTAATAGTGACATGATACAATTAAAAGATATAATTGGTTACCGGTGTAAAAAAACTTTACACTGACAATGTATTGGTTGTTATTGTTATAGATCATGCCTTACTTAATTTAAAATTAGAGCGTATAAATAAGAATTAACTGAAACACTTTAGTAATATTTAAATATTTCATTTTAAAAAAAATTATAAACAATATTTTTTTATATAAAATAAGTTAAGATCATCATATTATTTATATTTCTTATAAACCATTATTAAATTAAATCAGCTAACAGGTAGGTATTTTCAAAAGACCAAAATTGCAATACTATTACTAACTGTACATATAATTTTAAAGAAATTCCATATTCATATAGAAAAATGACAATAATGACAGTATTAAAAGATTACTTTTTTTTTATTTCACTACAACTGAAACATGGAATATAATTTTTTTTATAAATATAATATAAATGTGTTATGATATAGTGATATAAATATTTTTTTAATTTAAATACCTAAGATAAATTGATTAGATAAATTTTTGACATTTTTATTTTTGAATTAAAAAAGCATAGATAAATTATAAAAATACGATATTATGATTTCATCATTAAAATTAGAATTTAGAATTATAAATAAATACATCAATATATAAATATTTAGTCTATAAATATTGATAAAAATGTTAATTATAAACGTTAATTACAAAAAATAAGTAAAAATTAAATCATATAAATGCTCATTTTTTTAAGTAAGAATAACAATAATGACATTAAGATTTGAACGTAAATTTTATGTATACTACAATTTTTTTTACTAATAGGCAATCTTAATAGTTCATGTAAATGTTCATTAAGATTGCACACATGCAGCCTACTTTTTCCTCCTTACACTAATCTCCTTTAATTGTTAAAAAAAATGTTGACATAATTTAAATATTACATTGTGACCTCATGAAAGAGAGATTAGTGCAATAATTAAAAAATAAGTGTGTATAATTTCATGAAACATCATGTAGTATAGTATTTATGTAATGGATAAATTTTAGGTATAGTTCTTTAGATGTGATTGGTTGTATTTTTTAATTATAGTTAGAGTTTTATCTTAAAATTAATCACCTATGTATTGTTAATGTAAAATTTTTTTACATTGATAATTAATTATTTTTTTAATTGTACCATGTCACTGTAAACACATTTACTTTTAATAGTGACATGATACAATTAAAAGATATAATTGGTTACCGGTGTAAAAAAACTTTACACTGACAATGTATTGGTAATTAACTTTTTATCTTAATAGTATCTGTAAATGTATATTAATGAGACTGTGTTGGTCAACGTGACCGATAGGGACCTTCCGGTACAAAAAATATTATATTTTTACTGCAGTTAAACTTTTCTTTCGAAAAATTTGTGCGAAAAATATTCCTAACCTTTTATTTTTCTTTATTTAATAAATCAAATATTAAAAACTAACATTTTGGATACCGAAAGCTTTCCATCTACTATTCACTCGGTGTGGTGATTCCAATGATCCATTCATATTATGATTGATTGAGTCATGAGTAGCATGTTACCATCACCCTCTTCAATTTCTTTCTACCCACCGTAACAAACATTTTCAGTAATAAGACAAACAACCTTGATAGTCAATCTTGTAAGTAATGATTCTTCAAGGCTTCCCTCCGTGGTTGTTTGGAATGGAAAAAAATCTAAATCGATCCAAATTGATCTATAATTGATTTAATTTATATTGAAAAATTTGAACAGATGCATTTTATAAAATTGATTTAATTATTCAATCTATTTTATAAAGTAGATCAGTTTGGTTCAGCTTAGTTTTTTTAAAAAAATCAATTCATATATGAGTAAAAATGGATAACTGCATCACATCAAATCGATCCAATTTCAAAAAATTTGATCTATATTTAAAAAAAATCAAACCAATCTACTTTATAAAAAATAAATCGGTTAACCGATTCACTTTTATAAAATAGATCGGTTGGGTTCGGTTTGAATTTTAAAAAAAATCGATTCATAAACACCCCTAATAATTGCAAATCATCGAATAATTTACGGATTTTAACCAAAATTTCCCTCACGTGATCCACCGTAGATCACAACATATATGAGAAACTCATATCTTTTGGTTCTATGCACAAGCTCATGTTGCATTTCTAGGTCAAAATCATTATTTTGCTCTTTCAATACCACATTGACCTTGCTTGTTTTCTACCAACAGTTGAAGGATTTGCCCCAAAAAGAGTTTGGAGCCTTGCTATATTATTTATATGCTAATTACACTATACTTAAAACGGATTATCTCCGGTCATTTTTCTTAAAATAATTCTATAATTTCATTAATTTGTAAAATAAGAATTGTTTAAACTATTTTACTTATATCACTAAATTGATATAGGATCTATAACACATTCATAAAATTAAATATTTACAAATAATTTGATAACGATATATAACAAATTCCTAAAATTTAATATTTACAAATAATTTTGATAACAATTTGAAAGTGAGTATTTAAATAGACTTAATAACAAATGGAAATTATCTCTATTCATCAACACAATTTTAATTATGTATTTGGTGTTCAACAACTTTGATATTACTTTCATATATCTTATGACATGATAAAAGTCAACATCTAGGTGTTGTCTTTGAATATCAAGAGGAAACTCTGATTTTAACTCCGAAAGCAATAAAAACAAAAACTACACCTAACTTGTATTCTTGCATTTTTCCCCTGTACTCAATGACCCCATTTGGATTCTCAACTTCCACAACAACCACAATTTCGGGTAAGATACTCTCATTTCTGACATCAAAAGCTTTGATACCAACACTAATTAAAGGTTAATAATGAAAGGGCATAGTATGGAAAGAAAGAAATCTGAAACAGGGCATATTATTATTCAGCTAAAAGAAAAATCTCAACTACTAGTGGTAGTGAAAGTAATAAAGTAGACATTAGATTAAGCAGTATATACAAAATATATTAGATACCCATTTCCTAGCCATCATATTCATGACGAACCAACCACATAAATAGACTAGTAAAAAAGAACTTATTAATTCGTTATGAGGCATGATGAAGCGATGATTGAAAGCACATGAGAGAAAGAGAAGCATGGCATGTTCAAAAGTTGTTCCTATTGGGTATTGGTGATGATGAGGTGGGAGAAATTGCAGAGGTGGAATTGCAGGACCTGAAAGAAGCGGTTCGCATGAAGATCAAAAGCGAGGCAACAATTTTCTTGACCTTAACAGCAACCTTCTTGAGCTTGGGGCTTTGGGGGTCCACAAAAGTGTTGTCCAAGGAAGAAAGCTTGTAGGTTGTGAGAAAGATTTTCCTCTGCTTGGCCCTCTTGCGTCTGTAGCTGATGGACTTAACCATCTTGTCCTTTCCTTGCAGCCCCAGAACCTCGTATCTGTATCTGCGGCTCAACGTGATGGTGCCGTTGCGGACTAGTGTGCTCATTGTTCTTGCAAATTCTCACACAAACACAGACACATACACATACACAGGTTTTGGTTTGGGTTTGAGAATTGTGATGTTGTTTTTTCTTTATAAACTTGTGTTGGAAGTGTGGCACGTTTTCGTTGTTTGGTATAGACTCGTGTAAAAGGGTGTTGACTGTTGACCGTTATCTCGTTCGGTTTTCGCACTTGGCGTGCGCACTTTCTTTCTTTGCATTCATGGTAACAGGTGAGATACTGAAATATGAATTTCATATTCTATTCTGTCAAATTATGAATTTTATATGATTTAGTGCGGTTGTTGTGCACGTGGCACAATTTCTACTACTTATAATATTAACCTTTTTTTTTAACACAAATAATATTTACCTTAATGTTATTTATACATTATTTTTTACGACAAATTATTGACAAGTGGGGAAGAGAAAAAAAATGTGATAGTAAAATGGATTACATGTAAAAGATGACAAATTATTAACATGTAATTATTGACACAAATTATTAATGTATATTAAATTTAAGATAATATAAAACATTGATGATATTCACATCTTAAATTTAAATTACTATATTGTTTCTCAGTAAAAAAAAAATAAAGAAATAGTAATATTATCCACGATATACATTTTAAATTAGGTTTAAATTTATTTTTGTCTATATGGCTTCATGAATGTGTAATTTTTGTTTGTTGAAAATTTTTATTATAAATTTAGTCCTCTTGACTTTTAAAAGTAATATTGATCAACCGTTAACATGTTATTAAATTGATGGAGCATTCCTATGAGTATTTGTGAAAGATACCATCTGCAACTAGTTAATCACATTGGAAAATAGTAATATTAAAATTAAAAATAAGATTATTTTGATAGATTGTAAATTTTAATTAAAACAAAAAATAATAATAACATACTTTTGCAAGAAGAAATATTATTTCTTACATATAGAAACCAATACAATTAAGTCTCATTCACGAATACATCAAAAATTTTCCCCCGATGAAAATAATTTTGTGAAATAATACAAAGTTTTAATATATTTTCATTATTATCAAACTAAAAAAATAAAATATTCATTAAATATTTATTATTATCATTTTATACAAAATTGAAAAAACAATTTTAACTTCTTTTTGTAAGAAAAAATGTTATTTCTTACATAAAAATCAATATAACTAAGTCTCATTCACGAACACATCAAAATTCTCCCCCAATGAAAATAATTTTGTGAAATAATACAAAGTTTTAATATATTTTCATTATCATCAAACTAAAAAAATAAAATATTCATTAAATATTTATTATTATCATTTTATACGAAATTGCAAATACTTGTAAATATACAAATCTTTTAATATATATTGCCAAACACAATTTATTCAATGAGATACTTAAAATAATAAATTATATATCATAATAATACAGAGAATTGTCTTACACGAAAGTATTTTTAGAAGTTTACTTTTTCCAAGAGTGTTTTTAGATACTTTTCTTTAACTAGAGAGTTTTTAACAATTCTTTTTAAGTTTTTAGGAACTTTCTCATCAACCAGAGTGTTCATACAATGTGTAAACTAAAAATATCAATTTAAAATTAATGGATATTTAATTATTGATTATGTCATAATTACAATTTATTAAACAATTTAATTACACTTATTGTCTTTATTACTTAAAAATTTAAATCACCACGTACATTACCTTCAATTTAGGGATAGTTGCATAATATATATATATATATATATATAGAGGAGATATTTGTTTACTCCAAGAGTAAGTATAGATAAACATATTATTTTTAATAAACTCATGTTCTACATCAAATTTTAATGATCCAATCATTGAAATTAAAATTCTCAATGCATAGATCAAGTTTACAAATTTTTAAAAATATTTTATACGTTGATTTGAATTAATGAAATTAAGTATAAAATATTTTTTAATTTTTAAAAATTTACAGATTTTGATCTATACATTAAAAACTTTAAATTCTATAGTTAGATCGTTAAAATTTGATATAAAACATGAGTTATTAAACAAAATAACTCTAGATAGACTTACTCCAAGAGTAAACGATTATCTTCTCATGTGTATATATATGTATGTGTTTATATATATATTTATATATATATATATATATATATATATAGAGAGAGAGAGAGAGAGAGAGAGAAAGAGAGAAAGAGAATGATACAGAGAGGAAGGGGGGGTCTACTTACTCAAAGAGTAAGTCAACCGAGAGTTACTCCACTCAATAACTTATATTCTATATCAAATTTCAACAATTCAATTATTGAATTAAAAGTTCTTAATACACAAATCAAGTCTATCAAATTTTTAAAAATTTAAAAATTATTTAATACTCTGTTTTATTAGTTCAAATCAACATATAAAATATTTTTATGCTTATTTGTCAATTTGAATTAATGAAATAGAATATTAAATAGTTTTCAATTTTCTAAAACTACGTAGATCGGATCTATGTACTAAGAAATTTTAATTTAATGGTCAAATCGATGAAATTTGATGTAAAACATGAGTTATTGAATGAAGTAAGTCTAAGTAGACTTATTGTTAAAGTATAAAGTATAAGTATAAAGTATCTATAGTCAAAAGTAGTAACTAATCTCCGTGATTTGTTAGAGATCATGATTACACACGAGATAAATATTCTTCTTCCAATATGGTCAATTTCATATAAAAGGTCGAGATTCTTACCCTGCACAGTTTGATTAAAGGACATAAGTATCTTATTCTCAAGATTTTTAATTGAATTTTCAAATAAAAGATTTTAATTTATTTGAGACAAAAAATCCAAAATAATATATATATATATATATAATTTTTTGAATTTATTATCTAGTCAACTAATTTTTTTAAAATTATTTTAATTAAAACTAATTAAAATTACAAGTAATTATTTTATCAATTAAAATAAATTTTTAAAAACTTTGTAAAAATTAAAATTTTAATTTACTATATATTTTATATATTTATATTTTTCATAATCAATAATCAAAAGCAAGCGTGTGTGTGTGTGAAAATTTTAACTATTAAAGTTGATTTAATAATAAAGAATTTGAGTAGTACGTACCACATTTAAAGGTCTAATCTTGTTATGGTGATTTTACACATACACATATAATATATTGTAAGGTAGGGTATTCGATGAGAGTAATAGCTTATTGACTGAGTTGTACTTTTGGTCTCTTTATTTTTTGACAATCCATAATTTTGTTGCTATATTTTAAAATAGAAACATTTAGTTTCTCTATTTTTAAAAATATGAAATTTTTATCCTCATATCAAATTGGCATTCATTAATTATTAAATTTTAACGTTTATTCATACTTAAGTGATGTGACATTTATTGATAAGATATTCAGAGATAAAAAAAAAACAAACAAATAAGATTTATTAATAAAATAAATACTAATCACTCATTAAAATTGTTATAACTATAAGTTCACTGATATCATTAAGGTCACCACGTTCAAAGTATTGTATGTTTTAATGCTCATTGAGTTATTACGATTTTATCCTTAAAAGGACAATTTGATGGATTAAGGAGGGAAAAATGTTCATAAATTACCCTTAGTCTCTATTCTTAAGCTATGTGAGACTTTTAAGTATATCAAAACAAGTCCCCAGTCGAGCCTAAGGGGGAAGAGTGGCTAGAGTCCTCCTTTTAATGTCAATGTTCCGACCATAAGTCTACTAATATTGTTAGGATTATCATGTTCAAGGTATTGTCCACATTAGAACTTGTTGGGTCGTTACAGTATTGTCCTTGAAAAGCAAGTCAGGCGAAGCATACAATTGTTCTTAACATCTATGACTGACGCTTTTAAATTTTCAAATGAATGTTTTATACCTTAACATATCAAAAGCCATTGTCTTGAAACTCACATTCTATTAAAAAGTGTATAACAACATGTAGAGAATCAAAACAAAAGACAAAGATCTCATATTTCACGGAAAAAGGCACAACAAAAGGATTATATTATCATTGGACGTTGACTTTGCTTCATACTGTTCCTATTTTATCACCTTACTCTAATAAGTAGCTTGATCTATCAAATATAAGGAGTATGTTTAGGTGAAAGATATTAATTGAAGCATTTAATACACCTATGGATATTTCCTCTCTCTCTAGATCAAACGAAGAAGTAAGATGAAACAACTCTATATAAGACTCAAAAAGTTACAATGGTCATCTCTTTCAAAGCTACTATATAAGAAATTCTGAAACTTAAGAGAAGCAGAAGCAACGATACATAGAAAAATTTTGAGATACAAAGAAAATATACAACTCATAGAAAATCTTCTTCAAAAGTTTTTTTGTATTTAAACGTTTGTTGTAATCACGTCTAAAAGAAATGACAACTATAATTCTGTAATACCTTCATAACCATTGTTATAGGGTAGAGTCTAAAGAGGCTTGACTATAAAAGAATACTTGGGATTAAGTCTAGAGAGGCTTATTGTAAAAAGAATATTTGGGTAGTGGCTTGAAAAGGTTAGTCAAAGAACGATTGTTTGAGAAAAAAGTGGCCTGGTAAAAGAATACTTGTAACTTTATTTAAATTTAGTGGAACTCAATCTGGTTGGATATTGAGAACTAGACATAACCTCGGTGGTTAAGGTGATCCAATATAAAACTTCTTGTGTTCATTGATTATTCTTACCAACCTTTCGTCTATTGCAAACATGAGGGTTTTTTTATATACACTATTTAACCCCTTTCTGGTGTCTATCTTTTCTCCACACAAAATAATATTCTAGTTTGATCTGTTAAGGAATAAAGCATTCAAGAAACTTTTGTCGTTAGTCTCAATAAAAATAATATTAGCATTTAATGTATATGAGACAAACTGTAAGCTTCACCTGATTTACATTGTCTTATAGACGACCTGCATCTTACACTTCATCTAATAAGTGTTTTCAAAGATATTTTTGAAGATATTATCTCTTATAAAAAAGTTTTATTTGTTAGCATTAAAACTCTAAACTTAAATGATCCAATATTGTCTTTTAACTTAATAGAGGTATTGTTCGCTTTGGCACTCGCTAGGTCATCATCATTTTGTTCTTTAAAAGGTGTCTCGATGGGTTAAG